GAAGTACCAACCCAACAGATTTCCAGCCTCAGATCAGTAATGAGGTTATGTTATTGGAATATGTAAATAATTGTGTGGCGTCGTGCTAGTTTTGCATTGTTTTTACTGATTTGTTACTTACAAACACTAATATTTATATAATATCTGTCAAAACGGTACCGCTGTTGTATCACTACAATTATGAGTGGAAAGGTGACATTTTTGAAATTTATTTGCTTCTTTGATTCGTTGGTAGAACTGATTCATGCGTCAGAAAAATTGATAAAGTCTGTAGCAGTGTAAAACCACACTGATTACCAATAAATTCGTGAATTAATTCATGAAGAACTTCGTCAATTTATTCATCAATAAATTGTCAATGTAAAACAGCTATATTAACTGTTTTACATTGATAGAATAAATTGATGAAGTTATTTGACAGCTGATTTGGTGCATTACACTTGTCCAATTTCTTGATGAAGCGACTTCATCAATTAATTGATCAATATAAATTGTCAATGTAAAACAGCTTTTAGAAGTAGTCAAAATTGTGGTTTGATTTATTCGTGATTTACACCCTACTGCTTTAGAATTCGAGTATAGTGTACACCATTGCATGTATACCAAGTTTTGAATTCGTATAAGAAGAGCATACAATTAATCTTTATCAAACAAGTTTATATATGAAGTTCGACCTTAACTTTTACATTTTAATACTAACTAGTTAATAGAAAGAGTACTTATTTTTAATCCCAGAAAGAAAGCATTACTAAAAGTGCTGGAAGCTATTAAAGGCATTACATTGAATTTAATTTATTTGCAAAGCAGATCGCATACCTGGAAACAATACAGGGTGTTCTACAAGCTCTATAACAAACTTTGACGATTGGTAGCTGGATTAATTTCAAACAAAGGTCCGATTTGTTTTTGTTTAGAAGTTACAAGTATTTTAAAAAATAAAACTTCATATTTCAATCAAAGTAGTCTTCTAAACAAAAACGAATCGGACCTATGTTCGTATAAAAAAAATGTTTGGAATTAACCCAGCTACCATCTGTCAAAGTTTGTTATAGAGCTCGGAGAACACCCTGTATAAAGAACAGTAAGGACGTAAACCGCAACAAAATATCCTAATCCTCCCCTGTACCCGATGAATCACGGAAAACGACCCCCGTCATCCTGCGTGCCGCCCCGTGCTCCGATGCGCTTTTCCCCGAATACGTAAGCGCGCCCATTTTGAGCATGTCAAAACACAAAAGCATTACAATCAATACTTTGCCGGCGGTGAGGCGTGAGCCGAGGAAACAAATAGGGAAGAGGGAAGGCTTTCGAGAAGGTCTCGTCGACCCAGAGGCGAAACGCGATAATAAAAAAAAAACAAGTGCTTCAATTAATTCAAGTAATACCGTTCGAAAACAACCTTCGGGAACGCGAACCGGGAGGACCCGCGGGCGAGGTACGCGTTATTTACGCCGTTGCGAATTCTCTTCGCGGTGGTAGCCGTGCTGAAACGGCGAGTGAATATTTTAAACCGGTGATTCATTGTATCGACACACCGCAGGTTGTGTGTGGTTCTGTTCCGAATCCGCTTTGTTTACGATTTATTTGTCCGCGAGAAGTTGTACGCAAAAAGTCGCAGGTGAAATGGCCTCCAAAGTTATCATGAAGATACCTGTCGCGCCGTTCGGTCAGGTAAGACCTACAGATCATTTTTAAAAAGTGCAATTTTTTGTGATCCAAGCCCTTTTCTTATCGCACTGTGTTATATAACTGTTCCAACATCCCAATTTTATTCCTATGTCTCTTGTTAAAAATGAATGACGCTAAAATGATTTAAAGCGAAGAAGACCTCTTTTTTTATACTAAAATATAAAGGCGCCAAAATATTTGTGGGATTGCCTCGTTAATTAAACAGGTACTAAACTATGGAAATGTCATTAGTAAAATTGTTTCCAGCAGCGTCAAGGGAGATTTAAATTGTTTGTGTTGTTTATTCTATGAATTCAGGCGTAAAATTATAAAAAAAAAACAAAACAGTGCTTAGTCACCACTACTACATAACCTTAAAATAGTTTGCAATATAATGCTGTTGGACTAAATTTAAATATTACAAGTTTTCTAAATTAAACAGTTAGCATATTTTTTATATAAATATACAAAATATTAGATCATCTTTATGTATACGATCCTCCAATATTAAGAAAAGGGAAATGGTTTCTTTTATCGTTTTTGCGGTTTAAAAGTTAAAACGCATTTATAAATTATGCAAGCATTGTTTATCGACAATAGACGTCAATTGCATTTTAATTTTTTGTAAAAGACGTGAACCATTCGCTTCAGCATGTAAATATTGATAAAAGAGTCGTTCTGGTTTAAAAAAAAAAAAATACTTCCATATTTAACTCTCACAATTAACTCCTACGAATATTTTTTATCTGAAAAACAATTCAATTATATTACATGAAAGTAAATTTATTAAAGATTTACGGAATAAATCAAGGTAAACGATCTGTATTATGGTCATTGCCATAATCATTTTATCCACCTATTTATTCATGATCAGTCGTAATTTGTAATTTAAATAAATGTAAATGTTCCAATTTAATCACCTCTAAAGTATTAGATATGCAACCAGTTGTACACGATGAGTTGCATGTAAGTTGTCTATAATTATGTATTTTTTCTTGTGAAGGTGAACAAATCAAAGTCGGGTAACGTTATCGCTGGGGAGATAGTCGTACCCCGATCTCAGGACGTCTCTCCCAGGCCTGCGGAGACCCCAAAGGGACCGGAGAATGTGCGGATCGCCCAGCTGGAGCAGAACATCAAGTTCTTGCAAGAACAACACCACCTCATGCTCACTGGCCTGCACAAGGAGATCGAGAGTCTCAAGAGCAGAAACAGGGGTTTGTGTTTTACCGCACATCCCAGTAATTAAGGATTCGAGTAAACAAACTTTCGTTTCAGAGCTCCAGTTTCAGCTGGTGTTTGTGAAAGGCACCTTGCCGAGTTCCGGGTCTCCGTCTTCTCCCGAAGACGATGCAAAGCACAAGGTACATATTCGCAGATGACAAACTGTTTTTAGGTTTCGATATTAATTTTTGCGTTTCACAGGTCTATTCCAGTCCAAAACCCTTCAATATAACACCTCTGCAGGTGGAGATATTGGAGAAGGAACTGAGCGACCTGAAACTTCAGCTGCAGGAAACTGAAAGCCGTAACCTGTATTTGTCTGCGATAGTGGACGAACAGAAGAAGTATGTCTTTTTCAGATTTCTTTTTCTGTTTTTGTATATTTATGTGGCACCTAATTATTTTTGATTTTAGGTTGCGACTTATTGTTGTTGTACAAATAGACCACGGGACCACATACAAAGAAAAAAATGATTACCAGCAATCTGTAACTTTGCATGCAGCTTAAGTTTGACGGGTCTCCCAAGATTTGACTACTAGGAAAATTTAACAGTGGTAAGTTTTCCCCTGATATTCAGGAAAAGATGTCAAGATAAACATGGAATGTTATGACCAGCACTTTTTTTTAAGTTTAAATGAGATATATTTTTTTTAAACCCCCCAAAAAATTTGTCCGACAAAAATGTTGGTATTTTGAGTTTATCCCCCACCCCAAATATGTCGATTTGGTGACATTATAGTTGGTGACAACCAGCAAGCTGATTTTTCTGGGGTTTGGTAATAAGATTTGAAATGAAAGTATCTTATTCGACAAAATTCTTGAGAAGTTTTTGCAGTCCAACATCCCAAAGATGTCGACTTAACGACAACATGGTTGGTGATAACCAGCTGTCGGACAAAAGCGTCATTATTTAAAAAAATGCAATATTAATCTGAGATTTTATTTGTCCGACAAAATTATTGGTTTTTTTTTGCTTGTCCGACAAAATTAAACGATAAAATTTTGCGGTTTCAATACTTACGCCTGATGTAGAAGAAAAATTTATATTTAATAAAAACAATATATGAATAAAAAAAATTTTAAATTTTTCAAATTTCAAAATTATTATGACTAATTTAAATTTATCTTTTTTATACAATTACAAAAAAATTGTATACAGGGTGGTCCCGAGCTAATAGGTCAAAATTCATGGGTGGATTCTCGAAGCAAAAATATTGCGATTTAGCCGAACTTACCTTAGTCCAAAAGTTGATAGTTGAAGAGATACAGGGTGTTAAATGTAAAATATTATTTTATTTGTTTTTCATTTATTCCTTAACAAATGCAAATATCCTCACAAAATTTTGAGGTTTGGAGTTCTTTAAGTAGAGGAATTGAAATGTGTTCACATTTTGGTTAAACTTCATAGAGGGCGCTAGCTGCAGTAGATTGAATGTGTTAAAAACGACATAACTTTTTTATACTTTAAGGTATCTCATCTGGTATCAAATTCTTATTTTCCAACTTTTTTTACACAAAAAAGCTACACTTTATAAAACTAGCTGTCTCCCACCGTTTTCGAAATATTTGGCTTTGAACCTTCCAGTCATTTTGCATTAAAGATTTATACTTTACAACAAGACAATCTTTTAATAAAAGCGTTAATAAATGTATAATAATATTTTTAAAATTGATTTAAAATTGGTGTAATTGATTTTTCAAGAACAAAACTATGTGTAAACTGTATGTCAAAACAAGATTGCAAATTTTAATTTAAAACAATACAAGCAAAAATGTATGCATTCATTGTACAGTTACCATTTTTTATAAAATAGTTACAATAGTTTATAAAATAAAATGTACATATAAGTTTTTTGAACAAAGAAATCATTTTGATGGAGATTAATTAAATTAGTTAGACATAATTATTTATGAATTTCAATTTCTGTTGCTCCTGTTAACAAGATAATTTTCTTATTTATTCTTCTTTATTTTTTCATTAAAAAATTAATTATTTTATAGCGGAATGAACATTAGGTACCACAAAAATAGTTATTTTTCCCATTTTTAAGGCAAATTTTCCAATCTTTTTGGCGGACAAGTATATTATTGTGTTATACATTTCAATTATTAGAGAAAAAAATCAAAACCAGATTGCTGGTTATCACCAACCATGTTGTCGTTAAGTCGACATCTTCGGGGCGTCGGACTGCAAAAACTTCTCAAGAATTTTGTCGGACAATAAGATACTTTCATTTCAAATCTTATTACCAAACCCTCCCAGAAAAATCAGCTTGCTGGTTGTCACCAACCATAATGTCACCAAATCGACATATTTGGGGTGGGGGACAAACTCAAAATACCAACATTTTTGTCGGACAAATTTTTTGGGGGGTTTAAAAAAAATATATCTTTCATTTAAACTTAAAAAAAAGTGCTGGTCATAACATTCCATGTCTATGCCAGATTGACATGTTTTCCTGAAAATCACGGGAAAACTTACCACTGTTGAATTTTCCTCATAGTCAAATCTTGGGAGACTCGTCAAACTTAAGCTGCATGCAAAGTTACAGCTTGCTGGTAATCATTTTTTTCTCTGTACGTGGGCCCGTGGACTAAAAGTATTAATAGTTACCTGGTACTGGTCACTACATTGTTTTATTAAGAAAAAATTGATGTAAAACTGTTAAAAATTATTTAAACATTTCATGACGGGTTTCTTTAGCCCATTACATATACCAAGGACGACTGAATTTTTCAGGAAACTGGAACGCTACGAACGCGACCGCGAAAAAGAACGAGAACGTGCGATCCAACCAGACCCCGAGCTCCTCCGCAAACTGGACGACGCCGAGGCGATAATCCGACGTTTACGTAGAGAGAATTCGGACCTGAGAAGGGAGAACTGCCTCACCACCGCCCACTACCAGCAACCCAGGGAGCCCCCCGCGCAACGAGAGAACGGATACACCTCGCCCCGTTCCGGCCAGAACCAGGGACGGGGCAACAGCGGTGGCCGCCACAGGAGCAACAACGGAGGCCACTACCGGGGCAATTGGTTTCCCCCCCTCCACTCGCAGAGCTACTGGCAGGGGGGAAGGAACAACGAGAGAAACGGCCTTCCGGTGGATGGCCAGAACGTTCTGCCAAATCTGCAACCCGGCGAGGGCCCGAACGGGACCCAGTACCAGGGCAGAAGAGGAACGAATAATAACCACTACCACAACGGAGACGGCAGGAAGTACAGGGGCGGACAGAAGAACCACAAGCCAACGTAATATGCGGAACAAGGTCCGCGATTTCTTTTCTAACGGATGCTTTTAAGGGCTGTTTGTATAATTTTAGCGACTAAAATGTATGTACGGTTCCCAGCTGGAAAAAACCTTTGTTTCACACCACCCGACGTCTTGTAATTGTAGACGGGCGGGAAGTTACGGGTCTCGTAGCTTGAGATTAATATGATTCAATCCATCGGTATGAGTTTTACTTTTGCTCTACTTTCGGGATGTCCGGGAAACGGCGGGCACTCGCTCGGATTTGGGTAGCTCCTGCAAATATGAAGTCGCAAGTTTCTATAAATTTTTCTTATTCAGGCTCACCCTGTATAGTTATTAGGTCGAAATTGTTAGTTGAAAATTGATTTTTTGTTGTAACTTTTTTGTTTCTTTAATCTTGTATAATTTTTGGAAAAAACTATGTCATTTGAAGCTGTTTCTATTAACGTCTTCCATTTACCGACACATACATTGGGGGCCCAGGGCCAAAGCCTCGTCGACAGTCTCGGTCCATCAAAAAAGTTTACAGGCTTGCCTTTTTATTTTTGTCACTGTTTTTAAGATTCTGGTGCTAAGTGAAAAATTTTGGTATCAATATAAAGAACAATTTTTGAGATAAACACGTTTAAGAGGGCTCTATAGAAAATAGGCAACCAACAATACATTTTTATAGATTTTATTACACAGTTTGTTTAAATATGAATTAATGCACAAATAATAGACTTTCCTCCAATTCAATGCAAATTTTCTATAAAACGGAGTTAGTTTGAAACTCAAATTACTTTTTGTCGTAAAGAAATTTGTAATTTGCGGCATCCTAAATTACAAATTTCTTTACTCCAAAAAGTTATTTGAATTTCAAACTAACTCCGTTTTATAGAAAATCTGCGTTTAAATGGGGGAAAGTCTGTTATTTGTGCATTAATTCATATTTAGACAAACTGTGCAATAAAATCTATAAAAATGTATTGTTGGTTGCCTATTTGTTGTAGAGCCCTCTTAAATATGTTTATCTCAAAAAAATTCTACTGTATCGATATCAAACAACTTTTTCACTTAAAAAAGCATGAAAACCTTAAAAATGGCGATCAAAATTAAAAAAGCAGTTCTATACATTTTTTTGAGGCCGCTAGGTGCGTCTGTCTTTAGGCCTCTAAAGTAGCTACAAGTAAACTGAATAAATTAACAGAAATATCTCAAATAACAGCTTTTTTAATGAAACACAAAAAAGTTATAATGAAAAATTGATTTTCAACATTCAATATCAAGGGCCTGAACAAGAAAATTGTACATACATTTGTGCTGACATTATTTTTGCCGAAGTTTTACCGGAATTCGAGAGGTTGACCAATATTTCCTGGACGCCCTGTATAAAAATCGATTGTGATGACTTAAAATACCTGGTTAAAAGTAATTTCGACTGAACTGTTATTTGCAATACACCCTCAGGTCAATACGGTACGTAGAAAGTATAATTTATAGTACGTCTGTCAGTGAGTAACGTTTTTCATGTGAAGTGATAAAGTATCTGTGAAAAATATATTTTCAAAATTTATATGTCACTTACAAGAGGATGACGGCTGCAGCTTTCGTTTGTTAAAAGATATGCGCTTCCAACGAACGTTTCTCTCATCTGGGAATTAACTATATTGAATGTTAATCTAAAACTGATAAAATTTGTATTAAAAACAAAGTTTATAAAAAAAAATTAACAGAATTTTGAAATGTGTGCTCCTTGCGCACATGGGGGATGTGCCAAAAATGTATCTAAATTTTTCATAGTTTCACTTGAAATTTATATTATTGATATTGAGTTAAAGAACACTGTAATTTCAACCATCATGGAATCCTTAAACGCCATGAAACATTGTAAATTTTTTGGCCATCCTATAAAGACGTCTGCTGTTTACGAAAATCACGTCGCATTTATTTTATATTCCTGGCACAATCTTGCCTTCTGACACATAACGCATACCAGTCTTGTGATAAGCCGCAAAAGCTGCATTTATGTCTTATTTTCGAGATAGGAAAGTTATTTGGTCTTGAGTCATGATAAAAAAAAGAGATATGGAATGAAGAAGTCCAAAATAAAGTTAGAAATCCTATTACAAATATTTTGATAAAAGCAGGATGCTTTGTTAATTTTTAATATTCTCTGCATATAATAGGCTGTGACAGTAAAACAGTGATTTTCGTGAATTCACAAAAAATCCTGATACATCTTATTCTATTGACATTGCTTAAACTACTACCCATACAGATTACTCGTAAAGCTAATATAAAGTCTGAATACTAAACAAACAACAATATATTGGCTTTGAGTTGCTTTTCAACATATTGTACAACAGTTCTTTGTATTATTTCATTCTTGTACGATTAATTGAAATCGTTTATGAAAGATCATTGTTGCTGAAAGGCTTTAGTGACTACGTTTAAAAAATACTCTCCTATGCTTTTAAAAAATATATTTAGATACTGTAATAGCTATTTGTTTGGATCATTAAGCGAAAGTGTATCAGAAACCTTTCTTTTTCAAGCAAAATTCCAGCTGATTGGAATCGTAAAAAAACTGTTTCTGGGACACGTTTCCTTTTCTACGGGTACAGTTCTTTAGATGATTCAATTAAAAATAAGAGTATTTAGATTTCATAAAGAAACACTGCAGCTATTGCTAAATGTCAAAACTATTTAAAAAAATTAACTACGTACGATCAAACATTATCTATCTGTTGTTGATTGTGTAATAGAGTTGATTTCTCTGAATATATCTTATATCTGTGCTATTCTAATATATTATAAAAGTATAGTATATGTAGCTGTGATGCACTTTTAAGTGTTTTATAATACCATATTAAAATTAATATTTATTACGTTTATTTTTACCATTTTAATTATATTTTATAATACGTTTCTGTGTATATTATTCCAATAAATCGAAAAATAAAGTATATTTGAATATTTATTTAGCGTTGATTATATCTATCGTGTAAAAGTGTATTGCACGAGTGTAGTCGATGTGAAACTTGCATTTAGTTGAGTAATGGGTAAAGTAGACAACTGCAATTATATCAGCGTTCAATTGAAATTTGTTTCGCTCAGTTCAGATTACATTTCCTATCTAACTTTAAGTATTGGTTCAAGAGTTAGTGTAATAATTAAAGTTGATGCAGTATACGATTATTATTTATAACTCGTATTTATCTATGAAATAAAATATTGAGTTACTCCAGGTTTTTTCCTCGCACGAGAAGATTAGTTCAGATACATCAGTACGAAACGTAAACGACTACTGAACTGTCAAAATATCGTTTTGTGTGAACATGACGCTTGACATTTCAAAATTCGGTTGTGGCTGGTGTTGCAAATACCAGCTGTTAGTGAATTGATCGCGCTCCTTTTCCGTTTAATTCCACCTTGATACATAAAGAATCGTTGTGATATGGCAAGCGGTGACATTAAAATATTTAACTTTTAAATAACCATAACAGTTCATAAGATATTGTCCCCTTTGTGTTCAGAAGGTTTTGACGTGACACGAGTAAGCGTAATCATCAGGTGATAGTCGGCGCAAGCGCCTTTCGAACCCGCCAACATGGAAAATATACGAAAGCCGCTTCATTCCCGTTCAAAGTGTCAAGAAGTTAGGTTAAATCTTCTTCACCGGTCATGCCGTCCGAAAAATTAGAGAAAAGTTCTAAAATTGTTATGCAAAAATTTAAAATGGAAGCCGACATACCGCAAAATAATTCCCAGCAGGAACTTGTGCGCGACTCCGAGGAGATCTGCGAACAGAACGAGAAAACTTTGAAGGACGTTAAATTTCGGGAGTGGGTCGCAGTTTTCGTACTGTGTTTCGTCAATTTGATCAACTATATGGATAGATTCACTATTGCAGGTGAGTTTTAGTATGTGTTTCACTCATTACTTGGCCAAATTATAAAAACCGCAGTTGTACGGTGGCTGATAAGTTCAGATCCTTTTATAGGTCTTATTGAAAAAGTGTAGAAAAAAGGTAGCAAAAACCAGTGTAAAGTGTTTGGGTTCGATTTTATTCAGAAAATATTTTTGTATAGGTATATTTGTAATCAATGAAAATTTTTAGATGTTACGTCTCTTATCAAATTACCTTTGTTGATTAGAAGCAAATAAATAAACAAAATGCAAGCTATTTTTTTACAAGCAGCATTTTTTGTTTTTCTCCCAAAATAAACAATTTTGTTTTTTTATTTCTTTAATAATTATGTAAATCTAAAGATCTCAAACAAATTTTTATTGAAGCAGTAAATACTTACTAGGTAAATCACAATTCATTCGGTTCATGGTTATTTCCGAGAGTCCATAAAAAGTCGTGTACAATCAGTACAACTATTGCTATACGTCATTCCTACAAGGAAACCTTACTTGCATAAATGCAGCAGCTAATTGTAATGCTACCAGTTGCTGATCGTTTTACCTTTGTCGATGCAAGACCAGTAAACTTGTGCTCTTTGTGTCTCACAGATGAATTTTGAAAATTAGAAATCTTAATTGTTTAATTAAGATTTCTCCTAACCAAGAATTTGACATTCGGAAGGCCGCAAAATTCATGTAAGGCTTCAAGGTCGTGGATTTTCTTGATTTCACATATGCTGTTTACACGTATTATTATAATAGTATAAACCGCTAAATTAAATTCTAAAACGAAACTACAGTTGACTGCATTCAAACAAAAAAGCCAAGGTTTACCACCAAATTATGTCACATGAATAGAATGGAACTTAATAAGTGAGCATTTTATAAACATCAGTACTAAATCTTCTCAAATAAACTGAAAAAAAAAAAAACGTAAAATTAGGTACTTGTAATATTTAAAGTTTTGCTTAGGATCGAAATTGAACACTTAAATACGGAAGTTGAAGATATTCAAATTATATTTATTATTAAAAAAATTATTCTACTTGTAATTAATAGCGTTAATCGAAATTTCTTTACTAGAACTGCCTATTGTAAAGATACAATAATTTGTATCCTTGCTTGTGTGAAAGGTTTAAACTAAATGAAACACAACCGGTTGATTTAAAATTCGTAAAACTATGCGGCTTAAATGTTTATTTCTTTTGACGTCAAACTAATTTTAAAAATATTTAGTACTTAGGTACATTCTATATACTTTTCTGCTAACTTACAAAATATTTACTATTTGTCATAAATGTAATGCACATTCGTTATTTATAAATATTACCTTCATATTTGCAATTGCAATTGTTAATTACCTATCATTCTCATTCAATAAAAATTAGTACTTCGATCTGTATACAGGGTGATTCACAAATGGTGACCAAAATCTTTATAGGAAAGGCTCCCCTCAAAATTTACCAAAGAATACGAGGTTTCATTTCTGGGCACGATTTGTGAATCACCCTGTATATTAATGTGTTAAAGTTGTCACAGTGGTTTTCCTCTTACAAACACATCTATGCCATATCATTTCTGTAAAATTACTAAAATAATCGAGTATCTTTTGTTCTCAAAACCTTTGTCGAGATTTTCAAAATTAATTTAGAAAGGTCAATTATTTCGGAAAAACTTTTGCTAATCTGTAGGAAGAAATGTTTACCTACTTTCTGTAAAAAATGTGATAATTTCATAAGGCGACGACCCCACGTGAACAAGTCCGACGGGTTGAGATCCGGACATCGCGGTGGCCAAGCAATAGGAGCACAACGACCTATCCATCGATTTCAATATTTTTCTCTGAGGAAATTAATGACGCCTCTTCCATAATGGGACGAAGCACTATCATGTAAAAAGAACATCGTCCATCTGATTTGAAGAGGAATGTTCTGAAGTAGTGGATTTGAATAAATTAAAGGCATGATTTTAACACAAATGACGTAAAAAATAAAAAAGAACCAACTATGGATGATGACATTATTAAATTACCTAGCCCTCTAGTCGCAACAATGTAATTTACTCTTTAGCAACTACCCATACGATCTGGCAACTTCGATATTTCAAGACTCATATATTGACAGTCCGTTAAAAAACTTTTCCTTTCCGCCCGAGCATCATTAATCAAACGAATTAACATCTATTGTTGTCGAAACAGACGTGACCGCAGTAGAGTTTCGTTGCAAAGTGGGTATTCTTAAGCAAAAGAAAATAATATTGTTTACTTCGAAGGTACTATCGGCGCGACCTAGATAAGTTTAATACCGCGCTGTCGATCATGTCACAGATATTCAGCGGGCGTTACAAAAACTTTCCGGACGACCGTCGGACTTTATTACAGCAATTTTCGTTTCGGTTTACTGACACTTCGGATCGGCGAAATGTACACTGTTGGTCACGTCGAGTGGATACCAGAGCAGTTGTTTTCTAAAATAAAATTAAGAATTCGTTCTATGCTAGATATGCTGATTTGACACTCTTTCTATTAGGAAGATTCGAATATCGGCGTAGCTGCAGTCGTTTTTTGTACAGTATTTTTGTTACTGTTTTAATTTGCAATGAAACTGCAATGATATATGATTTAGATATAATTTTTTGTACAATTAAACAATGTAATAATGATGTGGGTAGGCAAGAGTTATATACTCTATAGTCTATAGAGCGACCGCTGTAACTTTCACTAAAACTTATGTTTGGTGTTTTAATTCTCAACAAAGGTGAATACATTGCACATTTTTTTATACGGAGGACAATGACGAAATTAATTTATAAAATCACTTCACACAGCATTGGCATTTAGAAGAGAACAAATATGTGATTAGATACCGCGTTCTACCAGGTGATCCATCGTAAGAGCCACCCAATTNGTATCTTTTGTTCTCAAAACCTTTGTCGAGATTTTCAAAATTAATTTAGAAAGGTCAATTATTTCGGAAAAACTTTTGCTAATCTGTAGGAAGAAATGTTTACCTACTTTCTGTAAAAAATGTGATAATTTCATAAGGCGACGACCCCACGTGAACAAGTCCGACGGGTTGAGATCCGGAGATCGCGGTGGCCAAGCAATAGGAGCACAACGACCTATCCATCGATTTCAATATTTTTCTCTGAGGAAATTAATGACGCCTCTTCCATAATGGGACGAAGCACTATCATGTAAAAAGAACATCGTCCATCTGATTTGAAGAGGAATGTTCTGAAGTAGTGGATTTGAATAAATTAAAGGCATGATTTTAACACAAATGACGTAAAAAATAAAAAAGAACCAACTATGGATGATGACATTATTAAATTACCTAGCCCTCTAGTCGCAACAATGTAATTTACTCTTTAGCAACTACCCATACGATCTGGCAACTTCGGCCCTCGATATTTCAAGATTCATATATTGACAGTCCGTTAAAAAACTTTTCCTTTCCGCCCGAGCATCATTAATCAAACGAATTAACATCTATTGTTGTCGAAACAGACGTGACCGCAGTAGAGTTTCGTTGCAAAGTGGGTATTCTTAAGCAAAAGAAAATAATATTGTTTACTTCGAAGGTACTATCGGCGCGACCTAGATAAGTTTAATACCGCGCTGTCGATCATGTCACAGATATTCAGCGGGCGTTACAAAAACTTTCCGGACGACCGTCGGACTTTATTACAGCAATTTTCGTTTCGGTTTACTGACACTTCGGATCGGCGAAATGTACACTGTTGGTCACGTCGAGTGGATACCAGAGCAGTTGTTTTCTAAAATAAAATTAAGAATTCGTTCTATGCTAGATATGCTGATTTGACACTCTTTCTATTAGGAAGATTCGAATATCGGCGTAGCTGCAGTCGTTTTTTGTACAGTATTTTTGTTACTGTTTTAATTTGCAATGAAACTGCAATGATATATGATTTAGATATAATTTTTTGTACAATTAAACAATGTAATAATGATGTGGGTAGGCAAGAGTTATATACTCTATAGTCTATAGAGCGACCGCTGTAACTTTCACTAAAACTTATGTTTGGTGTTTTAATTCTCAACAAAGGTGAATACATTGCACATTTTTTTATACGGAGGACAATGACGAAATTAATTTATAAAATCACTTCACACAGCATTGGCATTTAGAAGAGAACAAATATGTGATTAGATACCGCGTTCTACCAGGTGATCCATCGTAAGAGCCACCCAATTTTCAACATTATTCTTCGAGATATGTAAAAACGCGTAAAAATAAGTTGTGTGAAACTTGCAGAAACAATAATTGATTACCTATTATATAAGATTTTTATATAAGTCCACGGACTTGGAAAGAACATTTTCAGCTAAGCCATTGCATGGACCAGATAGCTTGTTTATTCAGCTTTAAATTCTTTTTTTTTTTTAATTTCGATACGACCATTTTTCATCGAAATATCGGACTTTTAATGGAAAGGATCCTTTTGTCTTCAATCATCGATATCTCGGCGACAAATGGTCGTACAAAGAGATTGAAGGACAGTTTCGAAAACTGGAATAGATTTTCTATAACATGCTTCCGCAACTTTTCGGAAAAATTTTATTTTCATCTTTTACACGAATTTAAAAAAACAGGAAAAAAGGGCAATTTATGGTTTTTTTAGAAAATTGACGGCTAAATTCAATATAAATATTCAAAAAACGATTAATGTTAAGCATGACTTTTACAGTTGGATATACCCATAAGAACCCTGTGAAGTTTCATCTCGATCTAACGAACCAATTCTCGAAATTTGGTTTGGGTCATCAAATTTAATCTTAATTTAATTAAAAGTTGATGAACAGAAGCATAGGACAAAAAAGTCGAATCGTGCTGGAAACAATTGGATTTTGTTTTCTTCAATGTCCGGAAGGTTTTTAAAAAAAACAAAAAAAAACTTGGACATTTTTTTTTCGTCAATTTAAACGTTATTTGCGGTAAAAATGTGAGAAAACCTCAAAAATTTTTAGGGTTTAAACTTAAA